CTAGTACACTCACCACTACTTCACTCACCACGAGTACACTCACCACTACTTCACTCACCTCTAGTACACTCAGCACTTGTACACTCACCACTAGTACACTCACCACTTGTACACTCACCACTTGTATACTCACCACTTGTACACTCACCACTACTTCACTCACCACTTGTACACTCACCTCTAGTACACTCACCACTACTTCACTCACCACTTGTACACTCACCTCTAGTACACTCACCACAAGTACACTCACCACTTGTACACTCACCACTAGTACACTCACCACTACTTCACTCACCACTAGTACACTCACCACTTGTACACTCACCACTAGTACACTCACCACTTGTACACTCACCACTAGTACACTCACCACAAGTACACTCACCACTAGTACACTCACCAACACGTACGTTCACTGTACAACAAAATGGATGAACTTCAGCTACTGATGGTAAAAAAACAAAGACTTTCTTTCATCTTCTGTTTTGTGCTTCACGGAGACATGGCTGTGTGATTTGATTCCGGACACTTCGCTACAACTAGCAGGATTCCATCTTGTAAGATCGGATCGTGACATAGCACTCTCCGGCAAGACGAAAGGCGGTGGTATTTGTTTTTATATTAACAGTGGCTGGTGTGTAGATGTCACAGTGATTCTGCAACATTGTTCTCCACTCCTTGAATCAATTATTTTTATAACCTGTAACACGTTTTACTCGCCTCGCGAGTTCGCGTCGCTCATTTTGGTCGGAGTTTATTTGCCGCCTTGTCCTCGGGTTAAAGAGGCCCAACGCATGCTCACCGATCAGATTCTTAGTGTGGAGCGAGCAAATCCAGATTCGTTGGTTATCGTACTTGGCGACTTTAACAAAGGTAATCTCAGCCACGAACTCCCCAAATACATACAATTCATTAAATGCCCAACCAGAGAAGGGAACACTCTGGATCACTGCTACACTAGTCAGTAGAGCCTACCACGCCGTCCCCCGAGCAGCACTAGGACACTCTGACCATGCAATGATCCACCTGATTCCTGCATACAGGCAGAAACTAAAACTCTGTAAACCTGCTGTGAGGACATCTAAACAGTGGACCAGTGAGGCTGTGGAAGATTTGCGGGCGTGCTTGGACTGTACTGACTGGGATATGTTCACGACTGCTACCAATAGTCTGGATGAACTCACAGAGGCTGTGACGTCCTACATCAGCTTCTGTGAGGACTGCTGTATCCCAACACGTACCAGGGTGAACTTTAACAACAACAAGCCCTGGTTCTCAGCAAAGCTCAGAAGGTTGAGGTTGGAGAAGGAGGAAGCGTTTAGGAGTGGGGATAGAGACAGATTCAAGGAGTCGAAGAACAGGTTTAGCAAAGCGGTGAGAGAGGCTAAACGACTGTACTCAGAGAGACTAAAACACCAGTTCTCTACTAACGACGCTGCTTCTGTCTGGAGAGGGCTCAGGCAGATCACCAACTACAAACCCAGAGCCCCCAACACCACTAACGACTCCCGCCTAGCCAACGACCTGAACGAGTTCTACTGTAGATTTGAAAGACAATTGGACTGTCCTGAACCACCCCTTCCCACCCAAGAGGCCCCATCCCCCACCAATACTACAGAGACGACTATCTCCTTTCAGGAGGGAGAAGTTAATAGACTTTTCAAGAGGCAGAATCCACGCAAAGCAGCCGGGCCAGACTCTGTATCTCCAGCCACCCTCAGGCACTGCGCTGACCAGCTGTCTCCGGTGTTCACCAACATCTTTAACACCTCCCTGGAGACATGCCATGTACCAGCCTGTCTCAAGTCCTCTACCATCATCCCTGTGCCCAAAAAGCTAAGGCCAACAGGACTAAATGAATACAGACCGGTCGCCCTTACATCTGTGGTAATGAAGTATTTTGAGCGCCTGGTCCTGGCACACCTCAAAGCCATCACAGACCGTCTCCTGGACCCCCTTCAGTTTGCCTACAGAGCCAACAGGTCTGTGGACGACGCAGTTAACATGGCCCTCCACTTCACCCTACAGCATCTGGACGCCCCAGCATCCTACGCCAGGATCCTGTTTGTGGACTTCAGCTCTGCCTTCAACACCATCATCCTTGCCCTGCGTCAGGACAAGCTCTTCCAGCTGAACGTGCCCTACTCCACCTGCAGGTGGATCACAGACTTCCTGTCTGACAGGAAGCAGTGCGTTAAGCTGGGAACACAAATCTCTGGCACCACTGCCCTCTGCCACATGCACGCTGTCGCCGATGTTTTTGTAGCTCCCTGCCCAACTGTTGAGCGAGTCGCACGCGGTTCTGATGGTACCGGCATGCGGCCACGGGCAGCCGCTGCTGCAACACAGTCGCACCCCATCACGGCGGCTGCTTCTCTCAACCTACAATGACGCCGACCCACCACTTAAATCGGCTGAGCCATCGTGTGTTCAGGGCCCGAGGCCGACCGCTGATGTCATCCCCTCCCCACCCCCTGCCATCCTCAAATCGCCTCCCATCCACTTCCCGAGGCAATTGGGATTTTGGCCCAGGCGAGACTGTGGTGGTGGCCGCTACACCGACTTCCCCTCATTAATTGGTCAGTAACACCCGAATACAACGTTCTTCGCTCATTTACAGAGGGGGAGCGGGAGGGGGGAACTTTTGCCGATAAGACATCGTCAGTGTGTGGGCTGCCACACGTTTGTAAACCATTGGGGTTTGACAGCACGGCGTGGGGGGGGGGTTATATTTGAGAGGTCGCACTCAAGGCAACCAGGGGCCACCAGTGTCCCGCGGGCCTTGCGACGAAGCGCACCGCCTTAATGTGTAAGGGACCCCAGAGCTCAAACAAGTTGTTGGCGCCGGTGAGTGATCGGTACTCAGTGACTTGACACAGCAAATCATTCCTGCTGCACCGCTGTCTTGAAGCGAATTAAACAATAAACCGCATCTTGCACCGTCACTGCTTTTGCTATTATTATTATTAACCCTATATGGGTGGCTCTTGAATTTGAGAGAAGTGTTGTCTGCAGTGTTAAGGATTATTCTCCGAAGACCGTTTTCGCTTATCTGGCATGTTAAACTCATGATCGTTTTAGCTATCTCGTGCAGTTAAAATGCTGCCATACCAAGCCACGTATCTATCCATGCTTCTCCGTGCACTTTTGAGTTTTCAATTTGCGTTCGTTACCATGTTTCTGGCCATGTGATTGAACAGCAGGACGTTCGCCAAGGGTTCAAAAGCAGAACCAGGTGTTCCACACCAGATTAAACACTCTTTCCACCGCAACTCCGATTAACACGGTTGGTTACGTACGGCAAGACCGTACCCATGGAGTCAACATTGGGGGGGACCAAATCTTCCAGGGTGTCTGGGGGTACCAACCCAAAAAAAATCTAAATTTGAAAACTCATTTCCAGCCTAAAATATTTAAAAATTCACTAACACATGGGATGGATTTTTTTACAATAATGTCGAATAGTGTATTGTATTAAATTGCTGTTTTTACTTTATTTTTTTACCATTTATTGTTTCATTGTAATGGCAGAGATTAGGGATTAATAAAGTAAAACCATAACCACAATCATATAAACAGAAATCTATGCATTGTTATATGAATACAAATCCAGATATTGTGGCCAAGGTTTATCAAATTGTTTTTATTTTAATAGCATAGCAATTATTTTTTATTGCAAAATATTGGGGGGGACATTTTGAACATATTAGAATATTTTGGGGGGATGTGTCCCCCCCAATATATTATAATTACGGCCTTTAAGTTCAACGTACATACATACCAGTGGACATTCCAGATATTCACCCACGACTTCATTTTCAACCTGCAATCTGACAACACTCTTGACGTGCACGACCATGTTCCACTGAACAAGAATTGCGGCTTAAAATTCAGCCGCAACAGAACCAAAAACGTTTGCGTTGCACTGCTCACTTGCGATAAAACTGCGTGCGTTACCTACGGGACAATTTGCACATCCCACCCACGCAAGAATTTCAACTTTTAACTCCTCGCGGTCGATCACATTTAATGCTTGGGAGAGCTCAACACTGAATTTAAACACGCAGAGAAAATAGCGGCTGGAGATTACGTGAGGTTGTAGGGGATGTCCCCCCCCGCCTCTCTTCCTCCCGAGAGGAGGGGAGAACCCTCGACTTCACGTGATAAATTATTTATTCAAGTTATTTTCCCAGCACAGGAACGGTGTTCGTTTGTATTGCAGTCGGGAGCGTGTCGGCGACCAACGTACGAATAATGAATTGTGTACAATCTGCCTGGGTAAGAAAGCTTCAATTCTGACAAGGTGTCGTGAAATCTACATTGGGCCCTGTTGGAATCTACATCGGGCCCTGCTCAACCATAAAACTCTAATTGGCAAATCTGCACGATGTGTGGCTAATTCATTGACCCCATTGTCAACCCGAGAGACGTACGACGTCCATATAATTGCCCTTTAACTATCCCTCGAACAAGCATTGGTATAGTTGTCAACGCCTTTGCAGTGCCAACGTTTTAGGAACAGCCTTGTAAGTCTTCATTCAGAAAAGATGCTTAAGCAGCAGATTAGTGCAAGCTACAGCCACTGTTTACGATGCGATTTGTAACTTTAAACCTTAGCCGAGTATCGATATTAAATTTCAATGTGAATTGTAATTGAGGGACTTTGTGCTATCTTGGTGTGGTCTGGGAGTGTTCTTGTTTTGCTGCCTTGCCCAAGCTTCCATTTGGTGTTGACAAATCCGCAGGAATTGATGTACCTGTGCAATTTGTACTTATACTTCTTTATTTTAGTGACTTGCTTACCTTTTCTCTATCTTGATCTTACGTCGTTTGTTGTATTGTTTGTTGATGTAACTTGCTGACCTGCCCCTGCAAGTTATCTTCATAGCTCATAAGATTCCTCCAGCCCAAATACAGATTCTGATTTGAGTCTTGCTCAATAAGAATGAAGGCATCGTTACACCCATAGTATACTTACTGTAAACAAAGTCACAATCTGTAAAATAAAAAAAACTTTTATTAACAGGAACTTTACAGAGAAATATTACCACGTGAAATAACCCTCTGTACCACACGAAATTTGAAATAGAACAAAAGCCTTCCAAAGCCACCAGTCTCTAACGATCCAGTGGAAGAGTTCATCGCCACACGAGCTGACTGGGGGAGGTGTCCTCTTGGATGCATCCAAATAAAAAAATCACTGTCATTAAAACGTTTCCTTTTCTTTTTACCAATTGGGATGACAAAGACGAGAGTGAATATAACAAATTATAAAGTTTATGCACGAAATAATAACATCACTCAGATGACCAGTTTTGCAACAATGTGGGATTGTTACTGATGTGTGCCGAGTTATATGTTGATGGAATTAAATGCTTCATACGTGTTAATAGGCTGATCCACATTTATCTCATGTTCAATTATAGTTAATAAAACAAGACATTAACAAATCATGCTACAGAATAGTAATTGATACAAGTTTTTTTTTTAATCATGAGCCTTTGAAGCTCACAAATCAATGAAACATGATTTTCATTTCAAACTTTTTTAAAATATATTACAGGACATAAAAACACATGTATAGCCAATTTTACAGCTAATGAAACCCAATTATTCTAACTACTTGCTGTATTTAAGAGAGGCATAATGTAAATATATCATATTGAACACTGTTTAATGTACATCAACAATCCTTATATTTCTGAAAAATACATTTGCAGATGCGCTTCTGCGGCCGGCTGGAATGTTCTTCATTCCGATATTATGGAGCCACATGAGCTATGCACTTTTAAATCTAGTTTGCCATCCTTCCCAAGCATCGCTGATGGCTACTGTTGGCTACATACGGTGCGAAAGAAGTTCAACAAACATTCATACATGCATTGAACCTCAAGTCCCTTTCAGCTTTGCCTTCCACCATCCATTCCATACTGTCCCTCTCATTTCCATTCGGGCCGGTTTCAGGTTGGAATTAGTTTCACAATTGCTCCATGAGTACCTTGTCTGCTTGCATACTGGCTCTGAATTGTCATTGCAAGAATTGTATTTTGTCGACGATCGATTCAACCCCCTCACTCCTTGAACGCGGGATGCCACTTCATATGTATTCAGGTCACTGCCTGGGTGCGCGTGTCTTTGCTGTTAATGTTGCTGCACGATCGGTAATCTGAACCGGCTCGCATGGAATTGAGTGGATAGCTTGGGGACCACCATTCCCAACGCGGCGTGCAGAAAATGTTGCGCTTTTTCACCGTTGTAACAGAGCTGCTGAATTCGCGCGAGAGCGCTCGACGTGCACGACCGGACGCCACTCTGTGAAGATGTTGTTTGACGAGCATGAAGGCGGGCCGTCCACAGAACGCTGCGACAGGAAAAAGCCTGGGAGTGAGTTGTCTCGCCCTTGCGGGCCGGCAGAGCAGGGGCCTTGTCACTGCAGGCTTTTCGTGTCAGCGGGGCGGACCGGGGTGGCGATGAGATTGCTGGCAGCGGAGCGCCGAGACGCAGAGTCCAGCTCGGAGCCTTCTAGGCTGAGGTGCATGATGGAGGCCGTCAATCCACTGTCACATACGCTGTCGATGCTCTGCACTGCCCGCAGGTCTGTCGGTAGAAATGATGCGACATGAGTTTTCTGCCACGACAAAAGGCAGCTTCTAACATGTAAATGTACATATGGTAATATTATACCGTCGCAATCTGGATTTGCTAAGTGTCAAAGTAAAATTGCTTCTCGAGCAACATAATTGCTGAAGCAGATTTTAGATTGAAATGTAGTTCTTTCACACTTTAATTCAACTCACTTCTGTTTGCCAATTGATTGCGGTGGATCAACTGATAAGCTATGATATTTAGCGGTGATAGTTTCTGACATTTGTTACATTTTAGTGTTGGGTAACAAAAAAATCAATCCACTTGTACAAGTCAACTCGTTCATTAGTTGACAGATTAACATAATTAATTTTAAAACAATCACATCAATTATGTCAATAATCTACCTATTAACCGCTTATCTTTCACCCACTCCATGATGACAATTTAATTTCAGTAATATTTGAGCTTTACAAGGCAGGGTGTGCAAATACAAGTCATTTGGCTTGTACATAATGCTCTTCAATCAAAGCATCCCAGGGGGGGCTTTACAATAAAACAGTAATACAATTGGAAGGAAACGGAAAGAGAGGAAGCCCTAACAGAGAATGACTTGACGACATAAGAGATTGGTGCCAGAAAGATGTTACTCTACTGGAACATATTGGCACAAGACAGAGGAAAGTGGAAACAAATGATGAAATGTGCAGTGGACACCTATGGGCTATCTTCCCAATCAAGCCAATTCAATGATAACCGAATGCAACCAAATGCGTTTGCATTTTAGACTTGAATTGCGTGATTGATGTCCAAAGGCAAGGAGCATGACTAAAAGAATATTAAACAATTTTTATTTTACCAGGTAAGACACACTGTGAGCTGCATAGCTCTTTTTCAGAAGTGAGCTGTCCACAAATGATAGCTCAACGAAGTGGCTTATCATGTGGAAATTTATAGCAGCCAAATACTCTAAATGCATGTTTCTAAATGTGGAGGGAAAAACCGGAGGCCCCGGAGAAAAATCCACAGGACCACGTGGCGAGAGACACGCGAACTCCACATATACAACAGGCGTCGGGGTCGAGATCAAACCCACGACCTCCTCCATACCGGGCGACGGCGTTAACATCTTGCCACCGCAGCACCTCCTGACTTGAAACGACTCCCGGGAATCACCAAAATTTTGACATTCGTTGCTCTCAGGGGACGTAACGTGCACGGGTGTGCAGTGCGATGCCGCGATTAGAGCATGCCGCTCGGCTCACCTGCAGCCGGGACGGCGGGCGGTTTTCTCGACTCGTACTGTTTTCCACACAAGATATCGTACACCTGAAATAAACAAAAAAAATGCGTACGTATATAAAGAGAGCGCACATCTATTACAGGATAGCCACCGCACACTTTGTAAACTGTGAAACTTTGACGAGACGTGAATGAATTAACTGGTTACCTAGATCTTTAACCATCGAACAAAGAGGGTCACTGCATCGCACGCTTTCCGATGTGCTTCTGCGGCCGTCTGGAATGCTCTTCCAACCGATATTAGGAAGCCAATTGGAGCTGTGCACTTTTAAATCGATATTGAAAACCCATTTCCTTAGAACTGCTTTTTGTGTTGTTAGTTGTCCTTCAGCCGCACCTCCGATGTACGTTGCGAAATAAGTTCAACATACACACATATGCCTTGTGATTAAGAGAAAAAATATGGATTTCATGGGCCCTTTCCTCTTTGAATAAACGTGAAACAAAATGCGGCAATTACAGCATATTGATGCGATTCACAAAATAAAAAGATCATTATAAATACTGCCGATGACACCACCACACCTTCCTTCACCTTCCTTCTGCTAGATCCCACAGCTGTTGCAAAGCTGACATTAAAAGTCCGCATCGTACCAACTGGCCTTTTAAATTCTTCCCATTCTTACAAGCCTATTCAACCCTCAACGTTCGACTTATGGTTTCATCACCACCGTGGCTTTAGCGATCACTCGGTGCCACCTCTCGTTTCAGTCACCAGTAACCCCTTGTTCCTGAATGCATCTACAATACTTTCACCATAATCAACATCATCCCACTCCGCGTGTCTCCCATACAGAACACAGGTCCCACGCATCGAAGCCTCCTCCCCTTCCCAGTGTTATCTACAATTCCATCTTCTCTCCACGTGTCCGTTACTCAATAACCACGCGGGTCAATCACCACTGGTGACAACGATCCCGACGCACGGGGGACATTCGCCCAGCAGCAGCAGCTCGAGCACGCCCGGAGACCGCTACGGCCCACGCACGACCGACGGTTACCTCCTTGTTGCCGGCGGCAAGATGGAGCGGGGTGGTGCCGCGCGCGATGCCCGAGTCGCTCTCCGCGCACTCGCTGTCGTCCTCCTCCTCGTCATCGGAGACGTAGTCGAAGCCGTCGGCGTACGTGGGCGCCTCGAAGTTCTCGGCGTGCACGTCGGCACCCGCTTGCACCAGCAGCGCCACCATGGGCAACAATCTGCGCCCCGTCGCCACGTGCAGCGGCGTGTTGCCGTCGTACGTCACCATGTCCACCTCCGTCTGGTGCTGCGCGGACATTCACGGGGGCGCGGCACGCGCGTGCGTGGGTGAGTCGTGGCGACTTTTCCCTGCCTTGTTTGATTTATTTTAATGACGGTTGCTGAGCACAGGCCCAGCAACAAACAGTTTTGTACACGAGCCCCTTTTGTCAATCCACTGCTGGACAGGACGAGGCCCCCCTGCCCCCAACGCCGTGTGGTTCGTGACGGTTATTTGACCGCACTTTGCAACACTGGTCAGCACTTGTTGGTGTGGGCAGCAAACACAGCTTATTCCGACACTGCCCTCTGCTGGCGACATCAATCGCAATGTTGCCGGTGGTAGTATTGGTGGTAGTATTGATGCCGGTGGTGGTATCGAGGCCGATCGTTGTGGTCGGGTGGTAGCATTGATATCGACGCTGCAGGTATCAGGCACGATGCAGTTGCGCCAGCTCACCTGGTCGGCGAGGTAAGCAGCAAGACTCAGGTTCTCTGCCTCCACGGCGCAGTGAAGCGCCGTGCGTCCATACGTCAGCTCCGGCCGGTTGACATCCGCTCCAGCGTTCACCAGCATCTTGAGGCACGCCAAACTGTTGGCCATCACAGCCACGTGCACGGGGTAGTAGCCTGGATATGTGCACGTACACACACACACACACGTGTCTATATGAGCCACGAAGAGCCTGAGGATAAAGCCATTAACACTGGAATCGAAATGAAATATATAAAAGAGGATATTGTTTTGGGCAGTGGTCCTTATTTTGTGTTATATTATATCAGCGGTATTGATCGTTGTGGTGGCAGTAATGATGTTGACAGTGTCAATGGTGGTAGAGGTGTTTGGCGGTGTTGGTAATGTGGTGGTGGTGGAGGCAGTAGCAGAGCTAGTGTACGTATGTTGTGTTGAACTTCTTTCTGAGCGTACGTAGCCAACCGTGCTAATCAGAGGTGCGGGATTGTGGTAGAGGTCGTGATGGCAGCGGTGTTGACTGTGGTAGTGATAGTAATGGCACTGACGGTTAACACCCCTGTCGTGGTAGCGCACGGGAAGCAGTGCAAGTTGGCCCGGCTGGGGCATTGTTGGGGGAGGGGGGCGGTTCGTATCGCGTGCGGCGAGCGCCTGCAGGCACTAGCACCAGCGTCGCGTTGGCGTACGCTGCGGGCCCCCCACCTTCGTAGTTGACGCTGTCCACCAGCCTGTCGGCCGCTTCGCCACTCCACTCGATGAGGATGCGGAGCGTGTTCTCGTCGTTATTGGCCACGGCCGTGTGCACCACAAGATTCCCGTGGCGGTCGGGCACCATGGGGTCGGCGCCCGAGCGCAGCAGAATCTGGGTCACCTCGGACTGCCGCGTGATCACCGAGAGGTGCAGTGGAGTCTGCACGGCCGCAGCACGCACACGTAGTCACGCACACACACACGCACACGTCAGCCACCGTCCTGCTGTTTGTACCGCCGAGTTTTACTTTCGTGTTTATTCCATGCGTATTATTAATAACCGTAGGAGCTATTGCACGTGCATAGCTTTGTTGTCGATCCACTGCTGGATGATGAGGGTCTCTCCCCACGCCGCGTGGGTCGTGGGGGGGGTTTATCTGCACACGCTAAACCATTGCTCGTCAGTGCGGGTTGGTGAATGCAGAAGGATATACTTGTGGAAGCAAAGAAGTGCGGTGCAACAGATTTTGCTGCACTGCTCACATGTAGTCTACAAAACCCATGATTCATGGTGATTGTCTATAAAATCACTGTCCACACTCAACCCTGCTTTTGGGCTGATTACGCAATGGGCTTTTCAGAAAGTTATTAATGGGGTCTCATTGCATTCGGGATGACCATAAGAAGAGTTGTTAGACAATTGGTTGGTTGGCCTTAAAATGTATATTATCAAAAGCAAGTTTACCAACTTCAAAGACGACAACAGAGCAGTTGATGCTGACCAAAATCACAATTCTAAATTAATGAGAGGATTCAAATTTCCACTTGTTAGTGATTTTTGTACTCTGGGATGTATCCCTTGCTTGCAGTGAATGGATTCAAAAGCCACTCAGTCAACGAGAATAATTTTTGTGAGGATGACGCTTAAAGATATTTGGCCGATTCCGTGATAATTTTTGCACATGGCAGTAATCACGAGTGCCAGGATAAAGTCCGCATGTACTAAGGTGCAACGTCCTGGTGGATTTCAGACATTGGCAATCCGTCGATCGGTAAACATCTTGTTGATTTACCTGCTTGAGGTCATTGGGCAGGTTGACGATATTCTGGTGAGGGATGGTCACAATGACCTGCAGGAGCTGTTGCACCACGAGTTGTCTCTGGTGGATCACGGCCAGGTGTAGAGGTCTGCAACATCAGCACCAACACTGTTGTCATCATCATCATCATAACGGCACAGCGACTCAGTCAAACCACCCATAACCAACCAATGCCCAAGTGTCAATTCAACCAAATTGATATTGGGCAAATAAAAAAAAACTTTAATTTTACTATACAAGGCCAACTGGGCTAAGTAGCTCCTTTTCAGAAGCGACCTGGCCACAATTGATAGCTCAACGAAGTGGCTTACCATGTGGAAATTTATTGCAGCCAAATGCTCTAAATGTGCGTTTCTAAATATGGAGGGGAAAATCGGAGAACCCGGAGAAAAATCCATGCGATCACAGGGAGAGAGAACATGCAAACTCAAAATATACAGGCGTGAGGGTCTGGATCGAACCCACGACCTCCTACATATCAGGCAAGGGAGTTAACATCGAGCCACCATGGTCAACTGTTGATGTCATTACCCACATTTATCATATCTCATCAACCATCACGCAATAAAGAAGCAAATTTTACTCCTGCAAATTATTTACTTTGTTTTAAGACTAAGAGTGTGTTTTTAACCAACGACTGCATAACTTTCATCGGTCTTTCAAATCCTTAAACATTTAAAATCTACCATAATCTTTTGATCTGCTAACCAATGGACACATGGGCAATTGAAACTCCCCTTTGAGGTAAGGGCCATTTCCTGCAAACATTTATTTTCACTTGTTCATCAACGTGCACATGTACAGCCCCAGGAGTGAGGGGGGAGCGAGGGGGGAGTGGCTAGGGCAGGGGTCAGCAACCTGTGGCTCCGGAACCGCATGCGGCTCTTGAAAAAAAAATTACAATAAAAGCCCCCTCTTGTTATCTTGGTTCCTGACCCCCTGACCATAGAAGTCCAGTTCACCATGGAAGTCCAATTTACCATGTACAGGGGTTGGTAACTTGGGGCTCAGGAGCCAGATGCAGCTCATTAAGGACTGCTTCGTGACATTATTAAGGACCGCTGTCTCGTATTCACCACCTGCATTGCGGCTTTTGAAATTTTTGTTGTTTTTACGGAGCGAGCGAGCGAGCCAGCGAGCCAGCCAGCGTGAAGGAAGGAGCGGCAACTCACGCATCCCCGTTGTCATCCTGCACACCCGTGAGGTGGCGCTGCGGGGCGAGCAGCATGCGCACATCGGCCGTTATCGCGTAGTCCTTCTGCGCCTTCGCCGTGCGCTCGGCTAGAAGCAGCAGGGTCGCTTCGAGATTCCTGCCTGCGCGGGGCACCCACACACGCACGCATGCACATAGATTCAACGGGGCGTTCTTCAGGTCAAACTATTTTGTTAATTACTCTGCTTAGGTTTATTACGTATGTATGCTGAAATTCTCTTTCGGTGACCGTACATAGCCAACCCGCGCTAATCGGAGGTGCGGGAGAAAGGACAATAAAATAACCCACCTCCTCTCCCACTCACTCATCCACCCCCCTTCTATCTCTCAACCAATAGCTTTTACACCCACCCACTCGACCTTACACCCTCTAATTCACTCACTCATTCGTCCACTTTGCCTCCTACCCACGCACTTACCACGCTCTCCCACCAACCCCACCCACCCCAGCATGGTGAAGCCACTCGCTCACAGCGCTATGCATCTTACCTCCAATGTGCGAAAGAGATTAAATATACATATACGTACATTGTAAACATGGAAAATTTTACGAAAAAGTGCACAAAGATGCATGGAGAGGTGCATGCTTGGAATATACCGGTAGACAGAAAGATGAACAGGTGAATTAGAGAACATATATAAGCAGATTAGTGGTATCATATTGACTGTTGAAAAAGTAAGTGGACTTTGGGCAGGGCAGGTCATGGTAAGAAGATGATGGCCAGTGGTCAAGGCAGAGTGGCAGCCAAAGTAGTGAATACATCCAAGAGGAAATGGAGTGATGACATCAGCTCTTCTGCAGAAACTGACTGTTACATCCCCAAGACAATGACAGATGGTGCCAGCTTGTGGGCAAGGCCTCCATCCAGCAGTTGATAGATCCGTGGCCGACGATGATGATGATGATGATGACGACGACGACGACGCTGTTAATCACACTGGACGCACCGGTGGTCTGCACGGCCGAGTCCTTGACCAGCTGCCCCACGGTGACCTTTGGTGTCCGAGCTTCCGCAGGCTTCCTCGTGGGCTGCGGGGACTCGCGGACGAAGGGGACCTTCTTGGGACTCTGGCCGATCACGTGGGCCGGCTTGAGCGGAACGAACCCGGGCCGCTCGCGTCCCTTGAGCAACGGCGACGCCACCGGGAAGGCGTGCACGGTTGGCCGCATCTCCTCCATCGCCGCGTCGGTCTCCAGGTGGTCGTCGTCGCTGTCGCTGTCCTCCTCATCCGGGCGCTTGATAATCTCGAACGCTTCCATCCCTAATGCGAACACGACCGCAGACAGAAAAAAATATAGACAAATGTCTCACGTTTAGCCTTGCAGATGTCAGCACACGAAGTGAGCGCGCTGCTATGCGCAGACCACACGTCTCCTTCCCCTGTACCCATGTTCACATAGCGCCATGTGCTTGCTTAAAGGCGAGGCAACTTTGTGTTATATACAGTGGACTCTCGATAATTATCTGCGCGCGGTTTATCCGACATGCGGATTAACCGCATGCCTGATATTTTGACATTAATTAATAACCTTAAAGCCAATATTAATAATCTACAAACATTTATACATTGGAAATGTGCATAACAAGTCACGTGCTTAAACCGAACGAAATCCATGTGATCGCATCTACAGTACAGGAGTTGCATATCTTTACAACAGGGGGCGGAGTTTCATTTTGATTGGCGTGGCTCTGCTATCCACTGAGTGGGGTGAGTCTTCTGCGCGGGAGCATGAAAGTGTTATCACTGAGCATGCGCATCGATCGGTTGATTGTTAGCATTCGTTCTAAATCGAAAGAGTAACAACCAAAATTGTCCGTTGTGCTTCATTTTGAATGATTTATCCAATAATTTATTGTGAGTTTTAATTTATGAAACTGTGCGATGGCAGAGAAATGGAAGCGTATGGTTTTAACCTTAACTTAGTTTTTGGCATAAAGATCTGCGTAAAATGTATTTTTTTGGATTATCCGCATTTTTTTATAAATCCGCGGCCGTCCTCCCCGTCATTAGCGCAGATAATCGAGTCTACTGTATATTCTCCACAATGACGCAAATTATTTTGTTTAAAGCAAGCCTGACTGCCGGTAAGACACTGAATGTTGAAACTGGTCCACAGTTTGTCTTGAAACAATGCTGCTGAAATTATGCACTGCCAGAAGGCAGTGAGGATGTTGGGTTGTCTAACAAATATCGTTACATATATAGTATTTGTGTCGAAATAACTACGAGCATTTGTTTTGCATGTGATCGATAGGTCTATTACTGCTAATAGTGGAACACACAGCAAATACTTTACATGAATCAAAACTACACTGACAACGTTTCTGTAGAAGGTGGCATGATAAAATTAAATATTTTTAAAATAATTTAACGCATAGTAAAGAATATCAACTATGCAGAAGATTACACACATGTAAAACTATTAATAGGTTTAGTTGTATACAAGAAGATATGTGACAAAGGTTGCCTAAGTCAAAAAAGTATTTTTTTTATTTAAAGTAACCTCAATATTACCGCTAATAATACTCTGTGAATGTATACAAACGCGTTGCTAATAAACTCAAACTAAAAGCAGAATCGCATTATATAACCGGCACAAAAAGGTTGAGGCTTTCAAAACAAGTGCAGAATTAAGATCGTACGCATCGTGCAACTGACGCTTATCACCGTGATGCCGTGCGTGATCTACGCGACATCCAGGCGCGCGTTTGTCTGCAAACACTAGGGGTCGCTCGTCAGCCAGGCGACGTCTGACAAGAGAAGCGTCGTTTCTGACACGAGTTGCCAGGAGCACGCACACACTCACCGTCTGAACCTTGAACGCCACCGGAGCCTGCAGACAACAGCACCGAAGCAGCAAAAAAAAAAGCCGTGGTTAGCCGCACGCCTTTTTCCTTGCACGTTAAATTGTAATCACATTCGTGATCAAAACCCGTGAGTGTGCGTGCGTGCGTGAGTTTTTACGCTTTGAAATGCTAATGCCACAAAATATCATTGAGTTGTCGTGTAACGAGCTATTGTTGGATGTAACACGATCTATATATATACATCCCACGCCTCCGCTTAGCACGCTAGGCTACGTACGGTGCTAAATAAGTTAAACAAACATCCAAAATTTATCGTATTCATATAACTTCCAGATAATTAACATTTAAACAGCCGTTTTCAAAATGCATGTATGGATGATCAAAACAGCCGAGGGTGTGAGAACTAAGAATCATCAAGGGTGTGAGAACTAAGAATCATAAAGGAATGGACAACGCTTACCGTCAAATTCAAGACCTGATAAAAAAGGGGGGGGGGGGAGAATAGAAAACGCAGTTATAATATTTATCTAACTTCAAGACATCAGTGTAGGCAGTAATAAACTAATAATCGCCATGCTCTGTTGAAGCGCTATGTTGTTACGTGGAGACATTTTACGGTTTCATGTTTCCCGGGACCCATACAGAAAATGTACTTCTTCTAAGCACACGTTTTCCCTGTACGTTACAACATTTTAATGTAAAAGTAAAAAAAAATGTACAGCTCAAAGAACATGAATGACAAAATTACAATTAATTAGTAGTGTTCTTTCAAGTAAAAAACAAAAGTGTATATTTTTTACACATTTATAATATTATAATTTTAATAAGAATTTACATAAGACAACTCAAACAAAACATTCATTCTTTATGATATCACTGAAACAAAAAAGTAATAAATGGGCTTATATTAAAATCTAAATAATTATTACACTTCAGCATCATGGTAAGGTAAGAGGAGGCCTTCATCCAGTAGTGCATTGAACACGGCTAATGATGATGATGGTGAATGATGACGATGAACAAAGCACAATGTATAGATAAAATGAATACTCACCCTGGTAAGCGTAGTTGATACCAGCAATATCTAGATGCCAAGAGAGATTTGAAAAAGACGGGTAAGTTGAAAACTTCGACTCAAAAAACTTGCTCTGTGATCCACGGTCTCCGCTCACAAGAGCAACTGTGACTAGAGCAGGAACAACCGCAGCAGCTTTAATACCCGACGACTGGGGGATCTACCTTGTTTAAAGTACCCACGGGTAACTCAGTAAAGTTGAAGAATGCACACAGCATCAGGCTAAAAGAGAATGTGACCTTTAATGTATTGTACCCACTGCGCCTCGGTGCTTGCCAAATCTCTTAGGTACTTTCCCAAAAAAAATTTAACCGTGATAAACACAATCAAGCCATAGCCCCTCCCTTGAATCATCGCAGTAGCCGACAGCGCTAATCTGAGAAACAAAAGCCAACCCTGAACAAGAATAACCATTCCCACAAGCGCGCGAGTTAATGTCAAACAACGCACCGACAGGGGAACAAGTCACGACGCAATGTGCCGTCTACAGGGCAACCAGCTAACCACTCCTACCCGTCCTTTTGGAGTTGCCTAACGTAGAATGGCACGCGATTCTGCACTGAAGAACACAGTCACTCCGAAGCGATTGCCCTGCTCGAATGAGGAAAGTTCCTGTTTACGTCCCTGAGTCGGCGGTGGAGATTCCGCATTACTCTGACGGGTGCGAGTCTCTCCATAGGACGACCACAGTTGACGTCCCCACAAAACGATGCCCGTGTCACCGACCCGCAGAGGGATGAGTTCAACCCCCAAACAGGATTTGATCTCACAACATTACGATTGCGAGCCGCTTGCTCTACCGCTGAGCAATGTATGTTATATTATGTTCATTTTACATGCGTTTTATGTTTATGGCCGCATTAACTCCAGCTTCATTCCTTAGGTGATGAAATACCTCGCCATTCGCAAACGACATGTACCATAAACAGTAATCGCCAGCGAAACGTCATACTCAATGATAAATGTTTTGAGTTTACTCGCCATCACACAGGTGTGTTGAAGTAATTGCTAATTGGCACGTTTTGTTGACGTGACCTTACTGATTGGCTGTGTCAAGTGGTGGTGGATTAACGACACATTTATGTTTATACACCTCCCATTGGCATGGCTGGCTACGTACGGTGCCAAAGAAATTCAACATACATCCATATATCTAACCCAAAAAACCTTTATTATGAATACTAGTCGTGAAAGCCTATGTGCTTAAATAAACAGTAAAGGTGCTGTCCTGCAATTTGTTGCTCACAGAAACGCTGGCAGAAGGGACTTTACTCGGGGAAGCTCCAGACATCCCCTCTAGAGGGTATTTTTTGGCCTACTCTTCCATGCTGGTCAGATGTCTGAGAAGAGGTGGAAGTACCCGAACTTCACAATCTCACCAACTGCCCAATGACTAACTGTGGTGTACACCACTGACACCGCCGAGTAGGTGGTGGCGGGGGGTATTTAAGAAACTTACCCATAGTTTCAATTGCCACGCTCGAGCATTGAACCGACGACCTCTGAACTGATAGTCCAGCAGCATCCGGATTGACAATGACGATGGCGTTTGTACCCAGATTAGGGCTCGTGAAGTGTCAAGATTATTTGATAAGATGGTCGTGCGCTGGCATGTTCGGTCAACTGCCGTTGACTAAACATGCCAGGAAACGGTCACACCCACTTTGCTGTACAACAATCTCCAACAGGCATGGGGAGGGGGGGGATTGACAGATTCACGTGATCCATTAACCCTTGCCTCCGACGTTCTAGATAACAGTCGTGCAGCACGAGATGGTCAGGTGAAAAATTCGAGGAGGGCTTCTGCAAGGGAGCCCTCGATCACAGTTGAGTGTCTTTGGGCACCACACACCTTGCTGATGAGATGGTGCCAGAACTGGCAGAGTGAGCTCAGAGAAGTTCATGTTCATGGCGTTTGTTTGAAAGTTGAATCCACCGCTAAAATCTGCACGACCAGCACACACCACACAGCACACAGTCATTTCGGCATCACGGAGGCTTGTATGTAAGTATGTTGAACTTCTTTCACACCGTACGTAGCCAACCGCGCTAATCGGAGGCGCGAATCATGTTGAACACATTCATAGGGGCCTAGAAGTTGTTGTGAATGGTAGGTGGGATAAGGCGACACCTTGGGAAGCCTTCATCCAGCAGTGGATTGACAGTGGCTTATGATGGTGACAACAGTTGACCTTCAATAGTATAATGCTGTTTGTTGCTGGCCGTTTAGCATCTTTGGCTTTTGGGCCTTTGCTAAGCAGTGGTGATTAATATATAAATGTGTGGTCAGTCGTACGTTATGTACAAACTGTGAATCATAACGACGACGACGACGACAAATGTAGCAATGGCGTTGGCAATAACATTGATGGAGACGATGATCAACGGTCAGGCATCGATCTCCCCTCACAGCGCATCACAAATCCCCGCACCGCGAGCGTACCGGAGTGGCTGCCGTGGCTCCACATACTGCCGCCACCGCCGCCCAACGCGCTGAAGGAGCCTCCCGTCGGGCTCTCCGTGCTCGGGCCACCGAAAAACTCGGTGGCGCCCCCGCCAGCGCCAGGAGCCATGGAGGTGGAGCTCATGCCACCGCTCATGCCACCGCCCATGCCACCACCCATGCCGCCGCCCATGCCGCCGCCCATGCCACCACCCATGCCGCCGCCCATGCCACCGCCGCCCATGCCGCCGCCCATGCCGCCGCCGCCCAAGTGGTCCGAGAAGTGCGGCAACGTCTTCTGCCGCTTGCGGGCCACCTCCTCCTTGTCTGTGATGGAAGAAGGAACAGAGGACGTTTTAGAAAGGAAAAAAAACGATTCTCCTCTCGCCCCCCCCCCAAAAAAATTTTCATCCAGATTGTGCGAGCAAAACCCATTGAACGGCGTGAAGTGCGGTCAACGTTGCCTGAGACCGACATAACGTGTAGAGGTTTCTTCCAGCAGTGAACTGGCAAAAGCGTTGCACGTGTACAAACGCGATCGGTGTCACGTCATGACATGAAGTAATCCAGGTGGAAATCTCCCAACCTTTCATATTAGGGAATAGCCCACGGAAGTAGATATCACAGAACTACCTCAGAGATGCGTTTTTGAGTGACCTCTGTGGCCAAACGGGAACAATAATTTCTCAAGCTGTAAATTTACCCGAAAAACAAGTGAAAATCAAACACGCCCAAGAGCAAACCGAGCACGGCCGAGCGATGACTGGCCGTGCGACAATCGCGGGGACGTGCCTTGTTTCTGCGGGTAGTAGATGAACGGCTTCGCCTCGCTCGTCTCACTGTCCGACTTCCTCCTCAGCTGCACGAACACGGTGACCGACTTGCTAATGTCCACGTTGCAGTAACGCGGCGTCTTGAACACGATGGCGTACTGCGTGGGGAGAGAGGAGGAGGAGAAGGTTGTTCGAATCGTCGTCGAATCCAAGCCCCTCGTTGCCTGCTATTGTCCGTGATTCATTAACGGTTTAGACTAAGCGAATATAGGTCTTTACATTCGTCAATTATTCTCCGTACGTATGGCAGGATGGAAAACGACCGTTAACACTGCAACGTGTTATAGTTGAATGCAAAGTTTGTTCAACCAATCCGAGGCGGCAGCAGTAGACGCTGCGTGGATCGCAACGACACCGCCACGATGTTGCGTGGATGGAACATCCGTCGGTGACGCGTTTAATCGTTTGGACTTCGCCACAGCCGCAGTACGAAACGTTAAATAAAAAAACAACACTCCCTTAAAGAGGACAAAACGTATCACAGGCGACGTTTTCAGAAATGAAACTTCTCGTCTATGAACGATTATTACCCCAAAACCTCGCCTATTATACATTTTCCTCTTTCGAATAGCGTTTTTTTTTTACGAAAGTATTGAGTTGTCATTTATACTTGTGCACTACTGTCAAAGGCCCAAATGCAAAGCAGGCGACAATGAAGAGCACGATTCAAGTTTTAAAAGGTAAAAGGAGTAACACGGTTTAGGTTTGGTAATGTGTTAAGCTAAGGAAACTTTTTTCCACGGCATGTCAGCTTTTTAGTCACCTGTTTGTGAACATCCGTCGGTCCGAAATTTCCCCAAGCTTCCCAATCGTCGTGAAAAAATCGCACCTGGATGTCCTCTGGGAACAATGGGATAGACAACAACCAAACGATGAGTGAACACAAAGTGCACGCGCACACAGTTTCCACAGCGCACGACAGCGCCCGCCAACGCACCCCGATCATCGATCGGCAAGACGACACACACATCGGGAACCTTGGTTAAAGTCATAGCGGGAACGTGGAGCCACGGATGGAGGGGGGCAGGTGCGTGCATGTGAAAAAAATATTTATGGAAGCGGGTTCGTAAGTGCGGGTGTTCCTAAGTCGGGCGTTCGTAAGTGCAGGTGTTTGAAAGGGTGTTCATAAGTCGAGGACTGTCTGTACATTGCACTTTCTTTGCACCATGAGGCCGGCATCCAGCAGTGGATTGACAAATGGTTGCTGGAAGTACACATGTACTTGAATCCAGTAATTGCCTGTTTTCAAACCTCTCTTAAGGCTATAGTAGGGTTTTGAATTGTGATGTTTGTCCATTTTTGTTACATTTTATTGAATTGAACAAAAGTAGAGAGGAAGATTAGGGGAGGGGATGATGGAGGATGGTGAAAATCATTACAATCATTAGACCGTCATGTCATAATAAACTAAATAACAGAGGCACTCCAAAACATAAATAGGGGAGGTAATGCAGGGGGAGAGAAGATGACGTAAGATATATTTTGGTATAAGTGTTCACGGGCTTATGATAATACATGTATGTACTATGTATAAATTCATTCACACTGTACGTAGCCAACCGTGGCTAATCGGAGGTTGCGGGGGAAGGACAAACTAAACACAAAAAGCAATTTAAGAAAATCGGTTTCTAATCTAGATTTGAAAGTGCACAGCTCCAGTGGCTTCCTAATATCGGAAGGAAGAGTCTTGAAGACAGCCTCAGAGAGCGGGCACAACACAGTGAAGAATGTTGTATGTACGCTGAACTTCTTTTGCAACGTACATAGCCAACCGTGCTAAATCGGACGTTGCGGGGAGGGGGCGGACAAACAAACTGAAGAGTTTTCGCAGCGTCCGTTTGGATCGGCGCACTGCACGTGTGGCTCCTCACCTTTTTGCACCTTGTCACAGAGCAGGTACACCTCGTCGCCTCCCGTCACGCAGCCCGACGTTTTGTCCATGCGCACGATCTTCAGGTTGTTGGCATTGGGGGCCTCTGTGAAAAGGTCAACAGGGCGCAGGGTGGAAGAAGAAAATGGCGGCCCAGACAGGATTATTAGCGTGGCGCTCAAAACATTGACAGCACAAGCTTGCTACTAATTACTTTTCATAAGAAATTATGGAACCTTGACATTTAGCATAATGAGTCAGCATCGCAGTGGTGAAAGAGCAACGGTGAATTCCGATACCAGGGAAATCAGCCAGTTTGTTTAAGATTGTCATGAACTTTGTAAAAATCTAAGCGTCAACGTGAGGGGTAAGTAACGTTGGGGGTGACGTGACACCCTGGAGACGAGAAGCGATAGGTAGTTGAGTGCATGCAGGAGAGTGTTATGAGATGCGAGAAGAGGGGTAGGCAGTTACAAGTCCATCACGTATCTTGAAGAAATACTCTTTGGTTCTTTCGGTAAAGTCGCGTAGGTATAAAATTAAATAAATCACGACGTTTCGGGTGCAACACAAGCTGCTTAAATCTACGTGACTTAACCGAAAGAACCAAAGAGTATGGATTCCTGCAGTCACGAAAGCTTCAAATCAAGATCTTGAAGAAAGTGAGTGCTTTCTCCGAGAAATGTAGGCTTGGATTGGATTTGGAGCCAGTGGGGGATGAAATGGGATTGGGGATGTCGTCTCATTTATGCAAACTCCAGAAAATTGCGCACGTCAGTTGGCGGTCGACGTTTAAAGCGGACTGCCACCGTCAAAAGAATGGCGGCGCCTGCCACCCCTGTGATCACCACCCCCCCACCCCACGTGATCCACGGATCAAACAGATCAATAGCGACGGCGGTGTACGGCGGTGGCAAGAGCAGTTGATGCGAACGCTGTCGCAAGAGGTCACACACGTTTGGCGCAACGGTCCTTCGCCGGCTCCGCGGTGACGAACGAACGTCCCATTCGTGAGCGGGGCTCGGGAGTCGGCGATTCGAACCATAGCAACGTCAGTCCTCAAACGGAGCGGCGGCAGCGGTGGCGAAACGGGATCGGGACGCGCGCGAAGGAAACGTGGTGGCAAGCCAGGTCCCGACGACTTACTGCTGTCGTAGATGGGGTTGGAGAAGACGGGGGGAAGGCGGTGGGTGAAGATGCCGTTGCTGTCGGGCAGGTAGGCGGTGAACATGAGGCGCACCACGCTCAAGTCGATGGTCTTGGCACCCTGCTGCGCGTCGTTCTTGATCTGCCTCGCCTCCGCGTCTGTCGAACGGAAAATGCGCCACACGGTAGAGGCCGTTACAGCAGCTGCTTTGTCGGCGTGGTCGGGGTGAGTTTCCGTAGGTTTTTCTCGCGGTCGTGCCGTGTACCTTTCCGGTGCAATTTCGGCGTTGTACGAACGTGAGAGAGAGAGCAAGCTCAAGCCACACGCGATACAACCAGAAAGCAGAAAACTAAACTATGTTTTTATCAGGTAAGGCCCACTGAGCTATACAGCTCTTTTTCAGAAGCTACCTGGCCGCAAATGATAGCTGAACGAAGTGGCTTATCACGTGGAAATTAAAGCAGTCACTTACTCTAAACTTTTAGAGTATAAACGCATGCTTCAAAAACCGTGGGACCTCGAGAAAAATCCACGCAACCACGGAGAGAGCATGCAAACTCGAAATATACAGGCGTCAGGATCGGGATCGAACCCACGACTTCCTGCATACCAGGCGAGGTAGTTAACATGTCGCCACCGTGGCTATCAACGCAGAGCTATACAAGACGGCCACTCTCGTGTGCCGTTGCTCACAGTGAAAACGAAACACGGCAAACGACAGTAACAAAGTGGACGGTGGCTGTGGCTTTGTGGTGCCAGTGGCACGCTACCTGTCAGGGCCCGCGCGTTGACGTTGTTGAAGCTGTTCTCGAGAACGATGTTGCCAATGCTGGCCAGCCCGGAGACCTGTGCATCCGACCACAACTTCTCCAGTACAGATGCCACGCTCTTCTTGGTGACGTGCAGCACACCGAGGCTGGGGAACCTATCCCGGAGCGTGGTGCAAGTGGCAAGGGTCAAAACAAGGCAATGGCGCGACTTAGAAAGGAGGCAGCGATTTGCACGTGTGTAAGTGTACAGCGGAAGTGTAGCAGTTAGTGCACTGCGCTACGAACCCGGCAGCCCGAGTTCGGTTCCCGCTCACAGCCAACACCAGTGACGATTATCTGAACTGGTCCTGGGCCTCCCCTAGGTCGACTCAGCCTCAAATTAGGACCATGAGGGATGGCTGAGTTTCGAGGTGCCAGTCTAAGGTTGCGTTATCACTCATGAACTGGCTGTAAATATCTTAATATATAATCGCAGAGCTTGGGCAACTTTTGGTGCCGGCTTACCCACTGGCTGTCCTTCGGCTTGCTCGTGGTTCCTCAGCAATTGTGAGGTGAAATTTGCACGAACGACGCGATATAAAACTAAACATTACAAATTACACATTACTGGAGTGATGGTGTCGGTGTCCGAATCAGGAAGCTCCAGAGATTGCAATTTTATACTCATACCGACTCAACAGCTCATCGTGCAATCCCCAGTTGAGCCTCCCAAAAAATTCGGCCGTATCACATACGTACTCACGTATGTTGGCTACCACACGCACGTAGGTTCGACCACGTTAATCGCCGGGAGGTTGAACTCACATCGCCGTCATGTCGTGTGGGCCCACAGTGCAGCTGACGGCACCGTTCTCAGCATTCTTGCCCACCAGGCTGTGGGGGTGCAGGCGGTATGGCGCATTCTCGGTGACCAGCTGCACCACCACCTTCGCTAGGCCAAAGTATTTGCAGATCTAAAACAAAGAAAATAGTTTGTTCTAAAAAGGTCAGTTTTTTTTTGTTAATGAGCATTGAGGCGGTGCTCATCTGCAACCCATAAGGGGGGGGGGCAAGTCCCCTCCAGAGGACAACCACTGTTGACTTCACCTACAAAGTGGTTTCCATTTGATTAACCCCCAAAGGATGATGGACGGACTTTACCGAAAGAACCAAACAGCGTGGATTCCAGCAGTCATGAAAGCTTCAAATGAAGATGATGGGTGGAGTCAACCTCCAACCAGGATTTGAACTCACAAGCTTCCAGTTGTGAGCCGCTCACTCTAGCTTTGGCCGCCACGTTGGTGAGATATGAACTTTCTTTTTTATTATTTTACTATCTACGTGACTTTACCGAAAGAACCAAAGAATACGAATTCCTGCAGTCACGAAAGTTTAAAGTAAAAAAATGTACTGCCTCGCCTGGTATACAGGGAGCTCATGGATTAGATCCCAACCTTGCCGACTATATTTGAGTTTGCGTGTCTCTCTCTCCAAGTGGTCCTATGGATTTTTCTCCAGGTCCACCGGTTTTTCCCTCTACAATTAGAATCAACATGCATTTATAGTATTTGGCTGCTATAAACTACCACTTCATTGAGCTATCATTTGTGGCCAGGTCACTTCTGAAAAAGAGCTACATATCTCAGTGGGGCCTTACCTGGTAAAAAAAAAAAATCGTATTAATAGTTTAGTGGTTTGAGCCACCTGGTCGGTGAACACGTTTTTTTTTCTCTTTCAAAAAATGTGATTTTGAGGATGTGAAATAAGACTAGCCGGGTGAGCCTGTGTGATAATATGACACTTTCAGAGACACAAATGCAATAACAAACGTTTTTTTTACAAGCATTATCTCTAAGGCAGGCCAATGAAACACAAAATTAAGTATGATTTTTTTTTAAAGTTACATAATGGTGTAGAGGATGTTCGGGACATGCTCAAACACAAACACCACACAACCACGGGTTAAGGGCCACGGGAGCACTGCCGTGTATGACACGCAATCCGATTATTAAGTGGAGGACACCGATTGGATTGGCCCCAGAAGGATTACCAAGAGTGGGGAAAACCCGAGAAGGATTGGCAAGGGGGAGAAAACCCCGGGAAGGTTAAAAAATGGGGGGAGATGGGCTATATAAGGGAGAGGATTTTCAGGGTTCGGGGACGGTTTTCGATGATGAGTGGCGTACGGTGTGAGTTGCCTTGGAAATAAAGATCCTGCTTAACCATCTCAAGTCTCTTCAAATGGTAATGGTGCAAACTTGCAATTACTTGTTCACACCACTGTTGGCAGAAAGGCCATGGTGAACTTCTTCTGCACCGTACGAAGCCAAGCGTGCTAATCGGAGCCCTAGAGAACCTATCAAGAAGAGGTTATTTTTTTCCTACTCATCCGTGCAGGCCAGACAAGACTTTACCCCACCACACGTGACCTGTCGATTGATAACAAAAGTAAAGTGTTCATACTATTCTGGGAAACATTCTAGCCCATAACTTGTATATATAGCACTGTACACTCTGTGTTAGCAACAAACTTCCAGTAACATTTCACAACCATTAAGGTCAAACAGGTAATCAATTCGAACCCGCCAGAATGCTTACGATGACGATAGACCATTGCCCTTCCTCCTCAATTTCTGTTCAATGGGTGCATGCGTTAGGCAGATGATTGATGCACGATTCTGATCGCTTACAGCGGTGGCTTCCCAACAATTCTCGATACGCAGACCACCGTCAACCCTCGAAACATGTTCTGCAGGCCACCACCATGCTCCACTAAAATATTTATCAAAAATTAACGTCTACCCGAAAGCGTAGTTATCTGCAATAGTGCCAACAGTTCCTCGGACCATATCCCATGGGCCTTTTGGAGCGCCGGTGGTTCTGCGGACTACAGGCTGGGGAGGCGCTGAAATACAATGCAGGGTCAAAACTCTCGACCGTTTCATGAGCACAACAATGTTCGACGCCACAAAATTGTTTCCCAACGAGACAAATCTCTTCACATAATATTTCGTATACGTGTTGAGCTCTGGTGAAATGGCTTGCAAAAAGGTTCCCCATGTGCGTCTTGCGCAAACCCGTTAGACAATAAGAGTTATTTGTTCATTTCTTCTCATCCATATGATGTTTCGCAAGTGTCAATCTTAAAAATACGCTAAGATCATTGCAGAAAATTACGTGGACACTACCCATGTGGCTTATGGAAACAATATAGTTGCTGTATTCCCAATGACTCATCGGGTTAATTTTAATGTAGCACACACGTATGCCTTCTGGCATGAGTGAATCTGAATAGACAGCTGGCATTACCAAAATCCCCAAGGCCTACAATGTTTGAAGGGCAGCCAATCAGTACTGGTTCAATATGTTGATGTACAATTTCCTTCTATCTGTTAACACACATTACACCTGCATATATGCTATACAGTACATATTGAACCAGCTTCCAGTTGTGAGCCGCTCACTCTAGCTTTGGCCGCCACGTTGGTGAGATATGAACTTTCTTTTTTATTATTATTTTACTATCTACGTGACTTTACCGAAAGAACCAAAGAACTGTACATATGTACAGCAAATTAATCTTTAACACATTTTATGCAACACGATTTGCACCACGATACTTTTATAATATTATTGTTGTTAATTTAGAAAAGCATCGTCGAGTCTCGAGACTCATATTCAAGAGACTCCTGCTTCAAGATGTTTCGCTGGCCAACTCCGTTGCAGACCATTTTTCACAAAGCAGACATTAAAAAAAACAGACTGCTCAGCGCGATCATCCAAATAGATACTCCGTCCCACGGCATTGCCCCCACCTCCCCACCCCACCCGGATAACAGTCAGAATGAAATTGGGGAACCGTTCGATAAAAACAAAAATCTACATTAACAAAAATCATCTTCGGTTGTAGCCACGATGTTGTCATTCATCTGTTGACCAGAATAAGCAGGGTTAGCAAACCCGTATAGCGTGGGTTCCTCCGTATATACAACCGCAATAGCCCTCCCCACCGCGGCCCCCTTTATGCGTTTCGTACCCTGACGGTGGGGAAGGTCTTCTTGTTGCGCTCGCTCGAGCAACCGGGCAGCCCTCCGTGCGACGGGCCTTCACAGGGGTAGCGAAAGCGGAAACCTCTCTGCAACGAGATACGCGAGCAAAGTTCGGATTACCTTCACGTCGACAAGTGAAAATTTAGTGGTGCCGTGTCCTGGAATGATAAGTGTGGTTTATTAAAAAATATCTAATTACACGTGAACCTTGTTTTATTATGTTACACAGAGGGGGGGGGGGGCTCTCTCTGTTAATAGAGCTCCATCTTGTGGAGGCCCTTCTGCCAGCTGTGGTGTGAGCAGGAAATTGCAGGGCTGCACCTCTACCTATCTCTAACAGTGACTAGCACACTACACAATGAACTCGGCAAACTGAGTTGGGTTCCCGATCAAGGCTGATATCAGTGGCGAGTCATATCCGAGCTGGTCCTGCCACAATCTCTCTCTGCCAACCATCACCAACCAGCGTGGAGAATTTTGGTTCAACATCCCCCAAGATTAATAGAGCAGGGAAGGCAATCATCCAGCAGTGGATTTACAGAAGGGTTGGTAAATTCTGAGATCTGAGCTGTTAGCCTGATGACAGTGAAACGTCGTACCTATTTGCATTTTGTGAGTTTACTCTTGCACGGCCTCTATCCAAAAACCCAATGATGAATCACTGTCATTGTTTGCGTATATTGTATACTGCATGTGCTTGCTTGGGCATGCTAGTGCGTCAATAAGGAGTGGATACAGGCATGGCAATTCTTCTCTTATTAGACACAACAGCAATATGGATGACTTATTGTGCAATCACACATTTTATTCAACTGTATATCTCCGTTATTTATGCAATATTAACTGCTGATAAATTTACGACGGAGATCAATTTCACGACACATAAATATTCACGACACATGAATATTCACGCGATCAAACACCCAAAAATAAATACCTTTAATATGGATCACTATGTAGATGTTAACCGCACATCTGATTGCGCTGAAAACCATGACCCCAAGAGAGCAAACTTAAGTCAACAAAAGTGGCCAGAACATCTTCTTCTCTCTATATATACACACGGTGTGATAAAACGACTGCTGAAATCCCGGGACTTTCCGTTGGACTGCTGCCATGTGAGTGGGGGGTTGGGCTACTGCGGGTTGGGACCACGTGGCGTCTTCTCGCGTTTAGGGGCTTTCCAGAAGCGCACCAATGTACCTGTTTAGGCTCCTCTGTTATTTGCAGGTAAGGTCCAGTCACTGAAATGCACAATAAGGTACATTTTGTTTTTTATACACATACAGTCCATTTTCCCAACCAAAGTATTTCAGAATCTTTATTTCCTGGAGGAACACGATGAGCTATTAAGCTCTTTTTTTTCACAGATGTTCAGTTGGGGTGGGTCAGAAAATGACAACGGTAATATACAAACCGATAGGATTCCAAGGTATAGGAAAGGTAAGGAAGTCACAAAAACGTAATGCGTAAAAATAACGTACCTAAGTACAAATTGCAAAAGTGTATCAAATCCTGCCGATTTTTCAACAGGAAATGCAAGCTTGGGCAAGGCAGCAAAACAACCACAGTTCCAGACCACACCAAGTTACAAATCACATTGGCAAATGTGGTTGTATGCAACACGAATCTTCTGTATTTCATGTGTTGTTGAATACAAACCATCAATTCATGCTATACATCTCGATTTTAATGTATTAACTAAAATATTTAATCTGGATAATACCTTGACATGTGACCATTTCCGTTTACGAGAGTGCCAAAGGTGTTAATTGACATGTACACGGTCGACGGGAGATTACCTCTCATACAAGCATTTTATTTCTACTGCAGTACTACTTATCATCATAGGCCATTGTCTATCACGGTGTGGTGTGTTGCTACCATCCATCAACTGAAAAGGGATAGGCACCATTTCATAAGTATTTCACAACATGTCCATCACTCTAAGTTAAGAGAATGGGGCAATAGGTTGTTGTCGTAGGCACCCTCCACTAATGCCTGGAGGTGTACACTGCCGCGTGTGTGAACATTCCGTTGCAATTTTGACTTAAAACCTTCGTGACTGCAGGAATTCATATTCTTTGGTTCTTTCGGTAAAGCGAATAAAAGTAATAAAATAAAATTAATAAAAAAACCACTAATGTAGACTGGCCTGGTTCTAAATCGGAGTGTACTGGCAGTCTGTAATGTAGACTTTAGCAATGGTTATTAAGCTGGGTGAGTGTACTGGCAGTCTATACTGCCAGTACCATTGCTACAGTCTACATTGCTTAATAACCATTGCTACAGTCTACATTATAGACTGCCAGTACACTCACCAAACTTAATAACCAGGCTACAGTTTACATCATAGACTGCCAGTACACTTCGATTTAGAACCAGGCGACAGTCTACATTAGTGGTATTTTTGTTTTTCATTAAAAAAATTTGTTCATTTTATTATTTTTCTAGAAACGTGACTTTACCGAAAGAACCAAACAATATTCATTCTGTTGCAAGCTAGGTTGCACCAAACAGGCTGGACCAAAAAAGGGTGGAGATATTTTTTTGTTTATTTGCAGAGCCCTGCCTCTGAAGTGAATGCAAAGTCAACTGAAATGGCTACAAGTGTCAGCAACCCTCTGCCCCCGCCGCAAACCTTACCGACGGGCTGCGGAACCTCGAATTCGTTTTGGAACGCATGAATGTCCACGGTGTTATACTGCTCCAGCATTTCCAAGTTTGTCTGCGAAAAAAAAAACGATCGAGACAGATTCGAATGAACACCCATTGCCCCTCCCCCACCCACACCTTGAACCCACATTCAAGAGACGACAACGATTCAGCAATGTTACATCAACGGGTTTTTGCTTTTTTTTTCCACGGATTTTCCATTTGCACAGTCACACACAGTCACTTAAAGATGTTTTTCTTATTCGTGTTTTTGTTTTTTTGTTTGTTGTGGTTGCACCCGATTCAAGAGCCGGATGGCTCACAGGGCTATACCAAAATAAACTGACCTGAAAACTGAACTGAACTGGTAAATAAGCTAAGTGGAAAAAATAATATTTTGCAGGGTATTCTGCGATGGCCATAGTTTCTCGTAGGCACCGTTTAAAATAATTGTTAACTCTTTACCCTGGGGACGATATGGGTCCCACCGGCCACACAACCCATTCTTTCAACGACTGCATCGAACTTCACGGTGCTTTTCGGTAGTTCCCCTTCCCTAAGCACAATGCCACCACCTTTGGTGAGCTGTTACAGCTGAACTTATGACTTTGGGCATAGGGACTTAATGACCTCCGAAACATCTTGAGCTACCATCTATGAATCGGGGAAATCAATGAAATCGTCCACAAAGAGGTGGGTGAATCGCCACAGCTGTAATGTTAAGCTTGGCTTTGGCAGTTACGGAACAACCCGTACCATTAGATTGCACGCGTTGTTGCAAGAACACACCCCAGAGCCATGCACCTATACGAGATGTCAGGATCTCCCGAGTCTGCGGTAAATACGCCTTTTATTTCCATTCTACGTGACTTTACCGAAAGAACCAAGAATATTGTTTTTGTATTGTTTGTTGTCAGGTTCTTACCCGCCTCTCCTGGACATATGTGAAAAAAATAGCTTCATAGATCATCACATTCCTCCAGTATAAATAAATATATAGCCTGATTAAATATGCATCTATTTGTACTGTGTACATTTGAAAGTAAATTTTCCCTATTCAAGCTATGTGGTTATTTCCATTTTTTTTTATTTCAGCGAGCACACAAAAAAATGCCAAGAGCTTTCATGACATCCATAAGGCGCTTTTGTCCTGAAATAAGCAATTGCAAGGGCCACTGTACCACTAACCCAATAATCAACATTACCCACCACATGTTGTCTTAATCAGAGAGACGTTCATACATGTAACTTGCAATGGACTAATTATGACACTTGTTAATCCAGGATTCCACACGTATTCGTGACTTTAACATGTAATTAAAGCGATCCAATTGGTTGTGCACATAGACCACACACTACCACCTTTTGCAGATTTAATATTTGAATTGGTACGAATTGCATGTATTACCAATTAAATACAGCTGAACCCCTCTTAACGACGGTAGTTGGTTCCATGAAACCGGTCGTTAAGTGATTTGTCGTTAAGCGAGTATAGGGAATACACGTTAAAGCCTGAATTCGTTCTGATATCCAAAATTATCCTTTTTCACCCAAGAGCGTACTTTATCGTATTTAAACAATGGATATTACTAGGAGCCAAGAATGTCTGTGTGTAACGCGTGTGACGTCACTCCACATGCCCCACCCCCCCCCCCGTCATTAATATTCATGAGCGGGTGGATTTTTTACACTCACGCGGAAATAATGTTTTTCGCAAATTCGCTTTAAGTTTGACGCTTTATTGAAAGTGAATCTAATAAATAATTCTACGCAACAACAAAGTGGATTTGGTGTCTTTATTTCTTCAGCACTTCAGACAAAAGGTAGGTGTAATTTATGCTTCTACATTACGGTAAAATAGACACTTCTCGGTGATTTTCCAGATATTGTATCGAATTCCAATTTCAACCCCAGCGACCAAAAGCAGAAGAGAATAAAGTATCAGAGCAGTGAATTTGAACAAATTGAAGGTCAGTTATATACAGTGCTACAGTGACATCAAGTGAGGTGTTTTATGGCATAGTTTCGTGCAACAATCACTGCCATTAATACAGTGCTACAGTGAAATGCAGTGAAGTGTTTGATGACTTCGTTTTGTGCCAGATTCACTGCCATTAATAGTCCTACAGTGAAATGCAGTGAAGTGTTTGATGACATACTTTTGTGCAAGATTCACGGCCATTAAATTTACACAAGATACAATTATACTCTGCTACATTTTTTCGTAAATATTACAGCTTCCATCCTAGGACGGGCAAACAAGCTAGTTAATACATAAAGAAACTAACATTACAGATACAGTACTCTTAAAATAAACATGGTTAATCAATGCATTAATTAATGTTTAATGTACCAAGAACAGCTAATAATTAACAGGGGAATGGTCTAACACATTGGGCTCTATGGAGTCTATGGAGTCCCGTCGTTGAACAATTAATCGTTAACAGGGGTGCTCGTTTCAGAGGGGTTCTACACTACGAGACATTACACTACTATATACTCCACTACTATACAATACATTATAAACTACACTACTATACACTGGGCTCTATGGAGGCTTGTCATTATGCGATTAGTCGTGAACAGGGGTGCTCGTTAAGAGGGGTTCTACTTTACACTACTATACACTACATTATAAAATACACTACTCTACACTACTATACACTGGGCTCTATGGAGGCCCGTTATTAAGCGATTAGTTGTGAAAAAATGTGCTCGTTAAGAGGAGTTCCCCTGCAATGTAACATTCTATATGACTCTCCAATACAGTGCACGGTGGCTGCGTAAATGTATTTGGCACATTCCATTCACAGTAGGGGTTGCAGCGGGAGTTTTTGGAAAGCCCCTACTAGCCAAACAGCCAAGCATATTTACATGAAATGGGCTGGGTGGTAGGGCATTTGACGGGAACCGGTTTTGACAGATAATCGGCAAAAAAAACACTTTCACTTCCCGGATCCAACCACGTAAGGCCGCCTAAAAACTCGCACGCAAGCTGAAAGTTATCTTTTACTTTAGAAGCTGTGTGATTGAAAATCCATACCTGTCAACCCCTCATCAGTGCCTACATTATTACAGAACAACCTTATATGCAATATCTCAAAACTGGCCACGATATAGTGAGAAAGATGAGCCAGTTCCAGAAACAAACGAAATAAACATACCATTTATATTCTTGGTTCTTTCGGTAAAGTCACGTAGAAGGGAAACCATAAAATAAAAATATAAAACAATAAAATTCTCACGACGTTTCTACTGCAACACAAGCAATCATCATCAGGTGTGAAAACCACAGCAAGATAATTTGAAAAAAGTGGCGTTTTTTAACGTTAGCACCACGTGACTTTACCGAAATAACCAAGAATATAAATCCCTGCAGTCACGAAAGCTTTACATCTAAATTAAACATACCATTTATTTAGTTCTTTATAAAAGAAAAAAACGCAATTTGTGAGTGAACGCAGTGTTTGTTTAATTAAAAAAAAACTAGCTATCAAAGGACGAATGCATCAATAAAGTTCGTATCCAGGACTTGATTGCATCGACGTGCGTGGAAAGCTGTCACAATCGCAGCTTTCATACCGAGGAGCTGCGAGTACAGTGCCATAAAATACACCCAACTGGATGAACGTTTCCATTGTGAATGTGCGCGGGCCTTTTTTTCCTGCTATTTTTGGAACCCAACCACGCAATATATTGTTTTAGTAAAGCACCTTTTGGGTAGCCATGACCACAGTTCTACATTCGGCTGAATTATTTCAATACCATGGCTATTGTACAATGATGGTGATTACTCAGCAAGCCTCTCTTGTAAAAGATATGTAAATGTATATGGTCAAAGTGAAATTGTATAGTATCATAAACAAATGTTAACCCTTCACCAACCCACATTGACCAGCGTGGTGAAGTATGGTCAAACTCTCCATGAGCAAAAAAGGCATGGAGGAGGGGATTAACACAGGACTGTGATATATGTACACACATTTATACTTTTAAATTATCAACAAAGGTCAACAATTTAACATGGGGCGTTTTTTTTAAGTGTACACAAAATGAAGTTTTAAATTAGTCTAATTAGCATTTTGTAAACCAAACTGATAAGTAAAAAACACACCCAATACTAAAATCTGCGAAAAAATAAGCGCAAAATTCAGCCCACATTTTTTCCCGTGTCATATGGTCACAGGCAGGCCAGACACTCCACATTCAACGTGAATTTGGATTAGCCATTACGGGGAGGTCAGCGGAGGGTAAGAACCCCCAAAGCATCTGAAAACTTGCCCCGCATACACATGCGAGACGTTATTCATTGTGAAATCATCCCCTAACCGCGAAGCGCAAACCCAAAATGTGAGGGGAAGCACCACACGATAAGGAAGAGCTTGAGAACTGGCTCAGAGTTTCGGTGTTAATTATCAATTAAATAGAGTGGGCTTTTTTTATTTCAAATAAACGATGACTATGAGCGGACGAAAACCATCAAACGTGACGTTGACTTTGACCGAATGCCAAAGTGTGACGGTACGTGACGAGACTGAATTAACTCTGTCATCCGAACGAAGAAGCAGACTGAAATAACGTCGTCACAATGTATTCACGCTGCTGGAAACGCCGGAATGCACTGCGGAAGACTGCAAATGATCCATTTTTGGCTAATAATACTGGTGGTGGGGGGGGGAAATGCACACCGCTCACGACACTTTTTCATAACTAAGAATGGCCTTGCATCGTCGACTCCCATCAGTCGACTCGACTGTTGACAATAACTAAATGAAATCCACAGATTAACAATTCACACAGGGGCGACGAGACAAGGATTAAAACGATACAACGTTGTGTTACTAAGTCACCAACTGCTCTAACGGTCGTCAATCAGTGCTTTTATGAGCTGCAGGTGAAGTAACGACAGAGGCCACCTCCCTGCCTGCCAGCTATTTCAAACAAGGGGCTTTCCAGAGGCGGTGTCACGGAAATGAGTGACGAAACAGGATACGCTTATTGCACATGTGCAGTTTGACCACAATTCCCACTAAAGCACTATGCAAATCCCGGACGCGGCCAGTATGAACGTCC